TTTCAGTCGGGTAAATCTTGATTAATATTTGATACGCTGTTTTTGGCATATTGCAGACACATCAAGAAATATGCTCCCGATTTTAAACATTAATATCTCCGTGAATTTTTAAGTGAAATACAACTGTAATATATCAAAATCTAAGTTAGTCCTTCCTCTATTTGATGCAAGTTATTTCTCTTTAAAAGCTTTACTTATTTAGAAGTTATTTCGAATCAAACCGGAGTACTTTTTTTTGGGCCACCCGGTATAGGTGGTGTATAGCTAGTTCATCTTATTACTAACTATGGCCTTTGCTGTATTGATTTTCACCCCACGCAACCTGCCATAGTCATTCTACATTTATACCTCAACTTATCATACTTAAGCAGAGACTTAATGACCGTAACTACACCTGAAGCCTGCAACTATGAATCATTGTACGTGTCTCAGTTATTATCGACCCCTAACATGACGGAATACTCTCACTTACACAATCACCGACGCTCTCATGCAACTTCTACTTGTCTCAGCCCTGTCTCACCAAGTAAGAAATTAATGCGCGGACTTCACATTGCCATGAATTTCTCCATTTCTATGATCCTTATATCTCTATCAAATGATATCGCAACTAATCCTGGTCCCACATATAACTTCTCCATACCTCCACCTAATGTACGTGGATTAAAAATCACTCGTCTAAATACCGGAAGCATCTTACCTAAAATTGATGTACTACGATTAGAAATGAAGGATAAACCATTCGACATCTTCTCAGCATCCGAAACATGGCTTAAACCCGATATCTCAGATTCCGAAGTAGCTTTGCCTGGTTATTCAATTATACGAATGGACCGTCAAAACAAAGTCGGTGCTGATACTGCCATCTATATGTTCGTGATGGTGTACCTTTTAAAACCCATTCGGACTTGATGAATAACGATCTCGAAAACTGTATGATTGAAGTTTTACGAGTTAAATCTAAGAAACTGTTTATTTGTTGTATTTACAGAGCACCGAACAATCCTCTTGAAAACTACTTATCCATGTTGAGCAATATTATTCTCAAACTTCCAAATAACAGCGAGCTCATTTTGTTAGGTGACTTTAATATTGACCTTAGCAAAAAAAACCCGCTCATCTTCGAAAAAACTACTCCATAATTTCTCTCGCCAGTTTCACTTAGACCAACTAATCACGAAGCCAACAAGAATCACTGAAACATCAGAAACCATGATTGACCTGATCTTTGTTAACAATGGTCAGAGAATTATCCGAAGTGATGTGATTCCATGCTCGTTGAGTGACCACTCTCTTGTGTTTTGCGTGTTTAAAGCTGGTGTCACCAAAGCTCCTCCAGGCACAATTGAATATAGATCTTATAAACATTACAATAAACAGTCCTTCCTTCTAGATCTTGAAAAAGTCAACTGGTCTACCTTTGTAGACGAAAACGATGTTGATGCTACCGTCAACAGCTGGTGTCAATGTTTTACTGACATAGCAGACATGCACGCGCCAATAAAGAAAATGAAACTTAAGGGAATTAGCATTCCATGGATGACGGCTGAATTAAGTCGAGCGATGCAAGATCGAGACTATCACCTGAAGAAGGCACAAAAAACACAGTCACAACATCACTGGTCGTCATACCGTAAGCTTCGCTGTTTTGTAAACAAAGCAGTACGTGAATGTAAATCCAAATATTGCGAGTCCTTGATAAAGCAAAGCTTGTCAAGCAAAGATTGTCATCAAACAAATTCTCCTGTATTCAACTACCACAATTTAATTCCACATTTGAATTCAAAGAGATTGATGTTGCGTCTGTTGTCAAACAACTATCAACTCTTAAAACTAATAAATCTACCGGCCTTGATGGTATCAGCGCCAGACTACTGAAAGATGCCGCAGCAACTATCGCCCCAACCCTAACTGACATATTTAATCAATCACTAAAATCTTCTATCTTCCCCAAGATCTGGAAAGACGGGAAAGTAACACCAATATTTAAGTCTGGCGATCGCTCTAATATGTCAAACTACGGACCCATAACTGTTCTGCCAATCCTGAGCAAAATTTTCGAACGTTTCGTTCACACGCAGATTTACAGCTATTTATCTGAAAATAAAATCCTCTCCGAATCTCGATTTGGCTTTAGACCAAAGTTATCTACGAGTACCGCATTGGCATTTTTCACCGATACTATTCTTGATAATGCTGACAACGGTCTCATCACAGCCTCTGTCTTTCTGGATTTTAGCAAGGCATTCGACACGGTTGATCATGCTATCCTGTTGTGCAAATTGAAATCATTTGGCCTGGATAATAACTCGTTAAATTGGTTTGAGTCATACCTTACCAATCGTTAACAGAAAGCGTCAATTAACAATACGTTATCCAGCTCATTACCTGTGTCAGTTGGTGTTCCGCAAGGTAGTATATTTGGTCCCTTAAATTACTTTTCATTTTCATTGTGAAACACTGCAAAATAATACTCTACGCTGATGACACTCTTCTATATTATTCCTCCAACTCGGTCAAAGACATTGAGCTATGCGTTAATGAAGATCTTGATCCAATCTGTAAATGGCTTGATGAAAATCTGCTAACACTAAACTGTGCAAAATCCAAGTTCCTCCTTTTTGGCGGTAACCGTCGCTTAAAAACATTCACCAATATCTCCATATACGTTATAAAACACAACTTGTGATGTTGGTTTCCCTGAATAAATACTATTATCAATCAATCAATCAACCATGGTAATTTAGTTAGACAAACTTTGCAAGTTCATTAAGAAATAGTAAATTAGTTAGCAATTTTGTAATTTGTTTATTTATTAACTATGTTATTTATTTGTGTATTGTGTTTTTGAAGATTTTTTGCATGTAAATAAAACTATGTATGCCACCAGCACAATTTTCATGAGCTGTAGCAAGTATATTTGGAATGGTATGGCCACTTGTTTTCATCCCATACCAAACCCACATGTGTTAGCATCTAGCATTTGGATGTTAGATGTTAACATGGGTTTGGTATGGGATGAAAACAAGTGCCCATACCACTCCCATGAATATAATATGATAATTGTTGCACCCATACCATTCCCATAGTTTATACATCAAGAACCATATGAATTCCATATCATGTTCCCAGATCATTCCATATAGAATCCTATCTTACCCATAGCAAAGTTGTTATGAAATGATATAAGGAACCCATGTATTTCTCATAGTAAGTCATATGGGATATGTATGGATTTGTACCAAACACGTATCAAACCCATATCAAAAACATGATATGGGTATGCTATGAAGGCAACCAGGCCATACCAAAGCCATATACCTCCTATATATGGCCCATAGGTTGAACCATATCAATCCCATAGTTGGTCCATATATGTCCCATATAATTTGGTTTTGTAAGGGTAATCCTATGCCAGGCGTATTTGTAGCCTCCTGCGCAGACGTTGTTAGTGGCCGAGGCCCCACCTAACGTCTTCTCACATTCTCTACACATTTGACTTCGCGGCAATTAACCAATTACAGTGGTGTACACGATAATGGGAACATCGACCTTCACTGACCTTCACATGCATGGGCTATTTATATAAACAAGTCTGCAGTATTTTTAAATATGAAATTTTTAATATTACGCATCAGGCTTTTCATTCTATTGTAAACGAAAGGAAGGATGATTTCGTTAATCTCACAACTGGCGCAGGAAATCACTTACTTATCACGCCGTTACCGAAGCTATTCGATGTAATATTCGGATTTAAATATTTAAACAAATTGTAAACGTGTAGACATTTAGTATTAGAGAGGTTAAGATACCCCGATTCCGGTTTACAGGTACGGGTGATATACACGTACCCATACCCATAAATCGGGGAATAAATTGTAACTAAGAAATCCAAGATACTCCGGCGTGAGAAAACCGATCAGAGAATGGCAACTTTCGCTGTTGAGGTTCGCCATAAATTGTTGAAAACATTGACCAGAATATGTGCGTTATTTATTGGGTTAAGATGTTGAAAATTTATACTATTTAAACGGCCCAAAAATTGTAAACAGAAACCACCCGTACCCGTTTGTCGTTTACGTGTAGTCCCCGGTTTACCGCGGGGAAACAGGTAGAAATTACGGGTTAAATTGCTGACATTAGCAAAAATTGGTAAAAAAAATGGCGATACTCGTACCCGTAAACCGGAAGCGGGTATCTTAACCTCTCTATTAATCGTGGTTTCGCCATTGATAAATTCAATGCGAGATCAAGTAAAAAAACTACACGATCTAGGAGTCAGTGCTGTGTCATTATTAAGTGGAATCGAGGCAGTGATGAAGAAGCGAAGGCATTGGATCGAAGAAGGGAACTATATTCTCTATTATATGGCACAGCATGCTGAGTCATTGTTGAAGACATATAAAATGTATATTGTATAGCAGATGGTTTGTGCTTTGGCTATTGATCCATGATGCTCATGTTAGTGTGTATTATAAGAAATCCTATAAACATGTCTTCGCATTTGTAATTCTCAAAGCCATAGGAATCGATCGGCTTTGGCAAAAAGCACGATTAGGCTACTAATAAAATTTCTACATGTTTACAATTTGTTTAAATATTTAAATCCGAATATTACATCGAATAGCTTCGGTAACGCCGTGATAAATAAGTGATTTCCTGCGCCAGTTGTGAGATTAACGAAAACATCCTTCCTTTCGTTTGAAGATGAAATGAAAAGCCTGATGTGTAGTATTAAAAATTTCATATTTAAAAATACTGCAGACTTGTTGATATAAATAGCCCATGCATGTGAAGGTCAGTGAAAGTCGGTGTTCCAATTATCGTGTACATCACTGTGATTGGTTAATTGCCGGGAAGTCAAATGTGTAGCGAATGTGAGCAGACGTTAGGTGGGGCCTCGGCCACTAACAACGTCTGCGCAGGAGGCTAGCGTAATTGTACACTGTTAATTTGAAGGTGTTAAAATAACACCAAAAATGGTGTCAAATAAAAAGGTACAAAATAACACCTTTTTGGGTGCTATTTTAACACCAGGTTGTAGGGTGTCAAATTAGCACCTGCAAAGGTGTTAAAATAACTCCATTTTTAGTGTCATAATAGCACCCTTTTCGGTGTTGTTTTAGCACTCTAACCTTAGTGTTAAAATAACACTCAATTTTAGTGTTATTTTAGCATTACCGAATATTAAAAATGTATATCCCTTCTATCCAACACACAAAACAATTAATAAAATAATCTGTTGAAAAATTTATTTACATTATACTTTACAGCATTACTTATCTATGTCATATATGAAGTTTATAGTAAATTCAGAGTTATTGCACCTAAGGTTTACACTATATAGAAACGTTCACAGAAATAGACCATGATTGTGACGCCATAACTCTCCTCGTACTACACTCTAGTCATTAAAGATAAGGACAATACCGTAAACTTCCAACTATAAGCCCTGGGCTTACATTCTTTCGTAAGCGATTTTTGATGGGCGTATACATGGACAATCTTTTGTGTTAGTTTAATAGCAATAAACAAGTATAGTAATAGTGATAAACAAGTGTTAAACAAGCATAGTAATAATAATGATAAATAGTTGTAATAGTGATAAACAAGTGGGCTTATTTATATTTGGGTGGGCTTATATTCAGGGGGGGGGCTTATATTTGGAATGAGGTGAGCGTTAGTACATGTGGTGGGCTTATACGTGGGGGGGGGACTTATACATGGGGGGGCTTATATTTGGAGATTTACGGTATATCCTGCATGTACAATACATGCATTACATTAATGATCAATATAATATCATCACTATCATAAATTGTGCATTATCATAAACTGCAGGTTGTTGGCTATATTGCACAATTTGAATTTTTCACAAACATTCCCTCTGCAATCAATGAAATCAAACTTATCTCTTCCAGAGGTCCAGTACCAATAGACAAGGGGTTGAGATCCTGATAAAAGGGTTTGAGCATCCTCTACACAAAAAGATTTAAACATAGAATAAATTTCTGTACAGTATACATACACAAATATGGATTAAGTTCTTTCAATTAAGTATCTTAATCTATGTTAATTGTTTAATCCATGTCCATAATATAAACACACAGATACTAAACAATTGTTTCTTCAAAACCTGTAATCACTGTAATCAATCATACAGCAAAGTAGACTATTCACTAGCTACAGTTGCAAACAGTAGATTGTTTAACTACCTGAAAAAATAAGAATTTCTTTCAATGATTTTCTTATTTTTCAATCAGTAATTAAACAACCTACTTTTGAAAATACTTCTCACAATTACATACTTTGATTCAGTTGGATCATTTCAATAGTTTATATCCGTCACAATCCAAATGAAAGTTTATGTTACCGGTGAAGATAATTTGTAACCAATAGAATCTTTGCTGAATGGTACTCTAACCCATTAAGCGGGAGCCCTCTCCCCTTGACAAGTAAAATCGTCTGGTGTTAGACAAAGTAAAATAATAAAGTAGGGTGCAATTTATGTGGCATAGTTGACATGAAGGGGGTAACTAGCCACATGGGCAGATATGACAGTTAACCCATTAGCACCAGCTCTCTCCCCTTGATAAGTAAAATCATCTGCGATCAGACAGAGTTAAATAGTCTGGCATTAAATAAAGTAAAATAATAAAGTAGGGCATATCAGGGCATAATGCAACTCAATTTGTAATTTTCTGTGGTGAGTCGGCTAGATACTGTAATTCATTGTCAATTAATAATTTAACGTCAATTATTGATCATTTATTGGCATTAATTGTCAAATTGCCACAAGATAACAGAGATAAGTTTACATAAAACCCACCCACTTATAATGTCGATTCGATGTTGTTGTGGCAACATGAATATGGACGTGGCCCCTTAAACAGTTTCTTTATGCATAAAATTGTGAGCCTGGAAATTCTCAGAAACATATAAACAATAGTATGAGGGACTCAGACATGTATCCTCAATATATTAAGGGAATTTAGGAACATTCTACCTGGGTTGTCTGGATATTAAATAGAAACACAGCTATTTACTATGATAGTACAATATAGATAACACAAAGGAAGGATTGTTCTGCTCTTAGGTCCCATTTACATGAAACCAGGACGAAGTCAAACTGGAAGGAAAATTGAAATTGTCAACATGTTTACATGAGATCAGTACAAAAATCACAAAATTTTCAATTTACTCCCCTTGTTAAGCAATTTTCTTGTTCAGATGGCTTTTGTTAGCATATGTTGTTCCAATATCAGGGTTACAGCCAAGACCGGTCTGAAATGTATTTGTGTTTACATTCATGCCGGTCTGAATTCATGCCAGTCTAAAGTCAATCGGCTTGATCCAGCCAGCAGAATGACTTGAGACTGGTCTGTTCGAGTTATTTTCATCCTGGTCGCTTGTGAACATCTATTATAGATCATACTATGAGCAAAACAAAATGGTCCCGGTTTGACTTTGTTGTGGTCTCATGTAAACAGGGCCTAATACAAAGCCATAGAACTTGCTTTGGAGATTATACTGGCCTCTGTAGCTCAGTTAGTTAGAGCGCTGCACCGGAATCGCAGGGCCGTAGGTTCAATTCCTACCAGAGAACCTTGTGCTGCATTTTTCGCAGTCGTTCCTGGTTAGGTCTTAAAATGTCTATATTCTCACTTGGATTACAAACCCTTACATTCTAAATTAATTCCACCAAGTGAAGTGCAAGAAAGCATCATTGAAGTCCACCTTATCACAACCCGCACACCTGATTACCTATATATACATGAACTTACGGTTACAGCTTAACAGCTGGCCTCTGTAGCTCAGTTGGTTAGAGCGCTGCACCGGAATCTATTTATTTATTTAATTCGCCTTGTACATATTACAGTGGCAGGGAATCCGCAACAGCGTTTGCCAATTACTGCGGGCCCGAATAAATAAATTACAACAATACATATATTAAACAACAAAGAACAGTACTAACAGTTCCTACATACAGCACAATAATGACGCTGTGAGGCTACGAACAGAATTACACTTAGGACATATAGTTTTATAACTAAAAAAAAAAAAAATCGCAGGGCCGTAGGTTCAATTCCTACCAGAGGACCTTGTGCTGCATTTTTCGCAGTCGTTCCTGGTTAGGTCTTAAAATGTATATAGTCTCACTTGGATTACACACCCTTACATTCTAAATCAATATTAATAGCCATTGAGTCAACATTGATATCCTCTCAATAGATCAATACATTAACAAATATAAATGTTTATATTGTTAACTTTAATATATTGATCACTATTGAAAGGGTATCAATATTAACTCATTTAGCTAATATTCATCTAATCGCCAAAGCAAGTTACATGGCTTTGTATGAGCGAACAATCCTTCCTTTGTGGGCCCTTGTAAATATAATTGTATATTTCATACCTTCTTGTAGCCTGTATATATCATGATTTCGACAGTTCGACTTGCTTAGAACACATACTATGACAGTATTTATTGCTTGAAATTATAACCTGTCAATACAAAGCAATATCACTAAGTTTTAATGTATTTTAATTAATAACAATATATTGTTGAACCAAATACAAAATACAATGCGGCCGACGCCAATGGCGGTTTAAATATACATGAATATATTGCTATTTATGGCACAAATTTACACACGAAACTTAAAAATATTGACATAGTTGAGCACTTACATTTACAATTATTGTCTGAATCTTCAAACAATGGAGAATTTCTTCTTATTTTCTACTATATTAAGAAATCTTGGCTTTATCAACCGACGTTAAATTAAAATTTCCAAGCGACGCGCTAGAAATGTGCTCGCTAAGCCCTCTGGGAGGCCCTTCTGAAGGCACTGATCTCAATCATGTGAGCAATCCAGTGCAAATAAACCTGCATTTCTAAGTTTTTTTGACAGAGACTCTTAACTTTAAAATTCTAGCTGTCTTGTTATATCTCCCTTGCATGAACATATTTTGTCATCACCACACAACTTCTTTTCACTGCATATTTTTATTGCCGGTTTATCACTGCACACTTTCCTGACATCACTAACACCAAAATGACAGATTGCTTCGATTATTTTTTATTAGTTTTTCAATGAGGCCCTACAAGGATTACATTAAAAGCGATAATATGTAAAAATATGATCCTTTGCCCCATTTACTTGTCTGAAAAACGTAAACCGCTCCTACGTGGTCCGCCACTTTGAATCTGAAAACCGGTTCACGAGGTGCTATTTTGACACCCTAAGTTTAACTCTCAAAACGGTGCTACTTTAACACTTTCACTCAATAGAATGGGTGTTATTTTAACACCCTAGAAAAGTGTTAAATATCTATGGTGCTAATTTAGCACTTCAAAATCAATTCCCAACTTCATGGTGTTAATTCAGCACCCAAATTGGTGTTAGATTAACACTTTTTATTTAACACCACCACAAGGTGTCATTTTAACACCTACGAAGGTGCTATTTTAACACCTTCAAATTAACAGTGTAGCAACTGTCAAACATTTAGAGTGAGCAGGTTTCCTACAGTTGTGCCCGATAGCACCAGGGACTAAGCAAACTCTCTTGGTGTCCGAGCTTCCACTCCCTTCAAATATTGATATCTAGAATCTTTGAAATCAGAAAGCAGGTCATTTCAGAATTTCGCATTTTAGGTATAGCGAGGTATTATAAGTTGTCCAAATACAGCCGCCTCCCCCTTAATTAATTGTGCACCATTGGGGATATTGCTCTTTTGTTGGATAGTATCCTAAAATGTGCTCAGCAAAACGTGGATGATTTTTAGCTTCGTAAGGAAAAAAACGAGTTACACCGAAGTCACGCGTTTTTATGTTAAAATGAGGTGAAAACAAGCCCTCTTGGAAGGGTCTATACAAATGGTCCAATAGTATTATTACTTTTCGTATATTAAGTTTTATTGTTGATTTGAAAGTGACTTTACCTGGGTGGGCAAACGTCAGTTTGTTAGTGGGGGGAGGGGGGCGGAGGGAAAATAGAGGGCCTGGAGGAATAGCAACTTATCCACGGGATAGCGATTTATCCACCTTTCGTACAATCGACCCTTGATGTGTAACATCATAGGACTTCGTGTTCTCAAATTTCCCATGATGTGCACGTCATGCTTGCGCCATGATACTTGCGGGCAAGTTATGGCGTCTTGCAAAACACGAACTTCTGCATTTTATTGCGGCCTTTTAATTTTTGATCGAAATTTTTGGATTACACAATCAATGTTGAATGTTTAGAGTTGTTCAAAGCAATTAAATTCGTCGAAATGGTGTTGAAAACAATTTTAAAAGCATGACGTATTTCCAAATGACGAATTATCATGCGAGCGACACGTGCTATAGGATGATGGAGACCGTGGGACAACGTTTTTACTGAAGTTACACATCTGTACATACTTAATCTATGAAGCAGGTTATATGCTAAATACGCCTTGGGATACTTCCGCCAAACGCTGATTTACCTTTTAATTAATAAACTTTTGTTACATTTAACTTTGCTCTTTTTTACTTTTAGGTTCGTCTCAATGTCAATGACATGTCATTAGATATAAGTGACTTCAGGTTTGCTACTGGAAGCATACCAAATGTGTTTCATCGCTTTGCAACAGCTGGAGACTGTTTTTCACCTGATTGTTCCGAAGATTACAGAAAAGGAAATTTTAAAGTTGATATAAGTGGTACAAATTTTCTTTTACCCAACAGCATTCCTTATTTGTTTTCTATATATCCAGCATGTGTTCAACGGTTATACAAGGAATTGATGAGCTCTGATCGTAGACAGTGGTCAGGATACTGCGGGGGACGTTGTGGAAACTGCTGGCCTGAAGTATTCCGTCTTCTAGTTGAAGGATGTTAAAGTACTTTAATTAAGGAACAAAGAGGTTTTAAACATTTGAATAACTTTTATGCAGATTCTCCACATTACAAAGATTGCTTCAGAAGTACATATAACTAGTACAAAGCTATAAAGTTAAAGCAGCAGTCAAGCCCGTTTTGCGCATTTATAGGCATGGGTGCATGTGGTTTGGTAACCTATTTCGGTGTGAAACACATTGGAATAATCTTAAATCCAGACAAACACTTGCTTTATTTAACAAATAGTTATATCTCTTCTAGAAAGAAACCAAGTCTATTTTGAACGAGTACAGGACGAAGTATGTTTTTCGTATCTTTTAATTAAGCGTGATAGCAACTTGAAAAAGCGGACAAAAGTAGTGAAACATTTGGTCTTTGCTCTTAAAGCATATCCCCATGCAATTACTTCGCTAAACCGCCGAGATTGTTCGATATTTGGACAAATGTTTGTACCAAAAAAGGCTGGAGCTGCTTCTTAAAATCTGATACTTGAAATTAGTTTTTCTTCAGCAGCCCAATTTTATCCTTTTTGAACGCGTACTAACCTAATGCACTGGAATGTTTTTCAAAATTCTTGCCTTGAAGTATGGGATACACTTAGCCTAATAAAGTCCTAAGCGAACGTCTACAGAAATTCCAAAACAGAGCGACTAGGTTGATCATGAACTTAAAAAATGAACATGGTCAGTCTATTTTGGCACGAAAATCCCTAGGCTGGGTAACACTTGAAGAGCGTAGGGCACAAATGAAAGCCAGGCTCATGTACAAGACAGTTAATGGTTTAGCCCCCCCC